AAAGAATTACCTGATCTTCATAACCAACTCAGTGAAACTGGGTCTTTCACTGGGGTCGTAGGACCAGCAGCGGGTCATGAGTGAGTAGAGGGCAGGAGGGCAGTTATCTGGTTTGGGCAGTCTGATGCCTTGCTCCAGCTGGTTGATCACAGCTCTGTTCTCAAGCCAGAAAAACGGCTGCTGTCCACCGCTCATTATCTCCCACATACACACAGCTAGAAAACAACACAGAAACAAAAATAAGCTTGGGAATGTCCACCCTCCAGTTCATTATTCATTTTCAGATTGTGTAATAGACTACAAATAGAAAATATCAGGCAATAAGGATGAAATTCAACACATTAAGAAGAATAGCAAACAAAGACAAACAAATGCCACCTGAAGCAGTCATTGTGGTGCTTGGTAATGGAGCTAGTAGTAATTATAACTATTCATTATTCATGTTTTTGATTATTTTCATTAATTGCACTTTTCAAAAAAGTTATTTTTCCACCAGATGAAGCTCAAAAAGCTTTATTTTGCTTTATTTTACAATAAGCTGTGTAAAATAGAATATTTCATTCTTGTACTTAAAAACAAACTATGGCTCTCCGACAGGAAGCAGCTGTTGGGTCAGAATCTACCTAATATAGTGCTATAATAAAGTGATATATAAATAAATTATGGTATGGTAATATATCTCATGTTTTTAATGCATATCCTATAGCTTTATTTTAGCTATATCAGCCTTCAGTCCACTTTATGTCCACAGTTGTATCAGTCACTGTTGCAAAAAGAAATACATGAACTAAATAAGATGTATTTTGTGAGAAAATATTACAGATCTGGGTCAATAATAGTGTTTAGTTCATGCTTAAAAATTCATAATGGAAATCATAAGTATGGTTGAATTCAGTGCATGAAAACACACAGTGCAGAACAAATTCATTTTACATTGTTGGCCACATACAGCCCAGTTTGATCTTAAGTGGGCCGGATGAGAGAAACTCCCTTTTCTGTCAGTGTAAAGATATTTAACTACACATTTAAT